GGGAAAGGTACCCAGGCAGTCTGTGCTGTGTGCAGGTGCACGGGACTCCCAGGGCATCGTGCTGTGGATGAAGCGGAAGGCTGGCGCCAGTGCCACGCTGCTGCAGGACAAGGATAGCACTGCAGAGCTCATTGACTCCCATGATGTTGTTGTTGTTGGGTTCTTTAAGGTGGGTCTGTTTGCTGATAAGGAGGGAGTGGGACATGGCATTGGCCTGATGGCCCAGAATCAATCGGACCTGCCCCTGATCAGACCCACAAAGCTGTGCCCTGCTATGCTGTTCCAAGTCACTAGGCTCCTGCAAGGTTTCAGGATAGGGGTGCTTTATTTTGTTCTGGGCTGCAAGGAACCAGGGAGAGAAAATCCATCAGTATCTGGGTTGGGCATCAGATCATCCAAAGGACAGGTGAGAGGTAGAATAACCAGCCAGGTGATGGGGCAGAGGAGCAATTGGAAGCAGGTGTGTGACTCCTGGAATTCTGGCCCTGCATCCTGGACAGCATTAGCAGTTCCCATTCTCATTGGCAGGGACTGCCAGTGCTCTCTCCCTCCCCAGGAATCCTGACTGCTTAGCTGGAAGTCAAGGATGAGGTAATAAGTGGTCTGGCTATGCAGGTGTCCCTGGGAGCCTCAGTTCCCAGTGCTGCTGTAAAATGCATACCTATGCCCCGGCTGGATGTTAAGGAAACTTTATTACAGCTGGGCAGCTTGGATTCAGCATGCCTCCAGTTGAGGGGGGCAGGTGGCTCTGGCTGAGGAAGGCCAGATGGCTTGACAGATGGGGGTCCTCTCTTCTCACAGAGGTCTGACAGGGAGGTAGCACAACCCATTGCTAGCCCCAGTCTGAGAGCAGCAGGACTGTTCTTTCCCTTCTAGGGTACAGTGCTGCTGAGCACTCCCCCCAGCACAAGCAGGAGAAACACATGATTCCAAGCACCCCAGAATAACCTTCTGGGGCAACAGACAGAGTGCAAAGCTGTGGTTGGAGGCCCAGGCTGTGAGTAAGGCCTCTGGCCCATCTCATGGCTGTCCCTTCCCCCCTCTCTTTCCCCCCCAACTCCTCTGTTAGGAAGACAGCCCTTCACACTTCCTAAGTTCCCCAGTAGGTCTTTATTCAAGCATTGAATACCACATACCCAGCCATGTTCCAGTGCCCTTCTTTCTCCTGCAGTGCCCCTCTCTTCTTGCCCATGGGACAGGGAGCTGGTAGAGAGCAAGGGACCCCTGGCCTTACTGATGGGCCAAGACCACTGCTACGTGGACCTTGTCCCTATTACTCTGCATGTGGTGCCCCAGGCATCAGTGGTGTTGTATTGGGTGCACTGGATGTTGGAACCTTCCTGGGCTTCAACCCATGTTAGAGGAGGGCTGCTTTGCTGGGGAGCCACCAACAGCCTCAGCTGTGCCATGTGGGCTATAGGGTGTCTGATTTTTCCAACCCCAGTGCAGTCACTCACAGCCTGTGGGGGTCTTCAGGAACTGCAGGGTGAAGGCGCGCAGGTATTCTATGAAGTTGCCAGTGATATTGTGGACATCACCTTTGGGATTACCGAGAAAGTGGAGCTTTCCCAGAAATATGGCATCACCCAGGACACAGTCTGCGTCTTCAAGAAGGTGAGATAGGTAGAGCAGTGTTTCCCAATCAGTGTGCCTCGACACAAAAGTGTGCCATCAGAAATGAACAGGTGTGCCATGGAATTTTGCCATGGCAATGAGCTACAATGAGCTACAGTAGGTATGAGGATGGGGAATTTCTTAACCAGTGTGCTGCAGAAAATTTTTATTAATGTAAGTGTGCCTTGGGCTGGAAAATGTTGGGAAACACTGAAGTAGAGGAAGTATCATGTGGGATGTGCCTCCAGCTCCCTCTCACTGGCCCTACCTTGGCTCAGTTGGAGCTCTACCACCAGCTGTGTGGCACTCAGAGCCAGGGTGTAAGCATCACCCAGTGGCCATGCAGAGGGGAAGGGTCTGGGGGAATAGGTGCAGCTAATGCCCAAAGGACACTGGCCCTATGGAGAAGCCCTGCTGGGATGGGATGGGATGGGGTGGGATGGGGTGGGGGTTGGGGACCTGACTAACTTTGGCTTTGGAATTTGATTGTAAGATTAACAACTTTTCCCTGCTCCTGCCCTTGGTGTGTTGCAGTTTGATGAGAAACAGACAGATTTCCCACTGGACTCAGAGCAGAGGCTGGACAAGGAGGAGCTTTCCCGCTTCATTGTTGTGCACAGCCTGGAGCTGGTGATGGAATTCACTAGCAAAGTGAGACACCTGCCAGGTTGCAGGGAGAGCAGGGACAGCTGTACCCAGAAATCTGTATGCAGATGCTAAGGGGCAGGGCTAGCACAGCGGGGGTGTCTGTGTATGGGGAAGGATGGCAGCCAGGGCCTGAGTTGGCCTGACACACTGTGTACCACTCCCTGCATGGCAAAGGTGTGCAGAGGATGGACAATGGCAGCTGTGGCACAGTAGAGCAGGGCTGCATGTGCATACGGTGGGGATAGGTAGGCAGGACTTTGGGCAAACCTGGTGCTGTGGGCACTGCTTACTACACAGCCAGGTGGGTGAAACTCCATTAGAAAGGGCACTGCTTCTCTCATGCCCAAGCACAGCAGGCCCTGGTTCTCAGGCCTTTCCTGCAGATGTTCCCCAGAGTGCTTGAAGCCTGAGTGCAGCAACCTATGCTGCAGTAGCTGACTTGGAGTGATGTGTGGCTGCCATAGTGACTGCCTTACTGGCTGACAAAATACTCCTCCTCTTCTCAGACCTCATCTAAGATATTTGGAGCAAAAATCCTTAACCACCTGCTGTTGTTCATTAACAAGACTGTGGAGTCCCAGCTGGAGATGGTGGGGAATTTCCGGGAAGCAGCAGCTGCTTTCAGGGGCCAGGTAAGCTATGAGCAGGGACTAAACTCCACTCACTGGAGCATCTGATTTCATCACAGCCCTGCCCAGCTTGCCTCAGATGGCACCAGTTTCACCTCACACCAGGGCAGATGGGCAGCATAGTAGGCAGGGCTGTGGGACACCAACTGCACAGCCAGTGTTCTCTCACTGGAGGCTTGCCTTGTAAAGAGTTGGTTGCTCTCAGCCCCACAACCATTCCCCTTGGTTGTGGGCACTTTCAGTCTTAACACAGGTCCTCTGGGGTGTAGATATTGGGGGCTCTTAGTCTGAGGGATGGTGTGGATTGCATGATCTGTGTGGGGAATGCTGTCCCACAGCTGTATCTGGTCATCCTAGGTTCTCTTTGTGCTCATTGATGTCAATGGGTATGGGGCCAATGTGCTACACTTCTTTGGCCTGAAGAGCCATGATGCTCCCACCCTGCGCTTCATCAACATAGAGACCAACAGGAAGTACTGCATGGCTTCAGAGGACTTCTCGGCTCAGGCTGTGGGCTCCTTCACCCAGGATGTGCTTGATGGCAAAGTCAAGGTTGGGCACATGCACGTTCCCTACCTACAGCAGTGCCTGAGCAGCCACCCGCCAGACGTAGGGCATAGCACTTGTCTTTTGAGGCCCGGTCCCACCTCAGGGCCTGGGAGATCCTTCTGCCAATGCTCTGTGTGATGGCACTGCTAGAGCTACATTGTGCAGGTTGGGATTTCTGGTTGTGAGCTGAAGACCTTATGGCATCCTTAGACTAGAAGGCTCACCCTGTCAGTCTGAGCTGATTTCTGATGGAATCAATCTGGCTATTGGGATCCTGCCAGTATTAATTACGGGATAGGATTGTACTCCTCCCTAACTCCTTGAATACTTCTCAGTTGCTATACGTAGTGCACCACTATGATACTGTTAACTCTGGGTTAGAAAGGGGAATCCAAGCAAGGGAGGGGGTATGGGATACATCCCTGCCTGATGGAATCTTTGCTAGTCATGCAAAGGAGACAGGACTACTGCCTCTCATCCAGGAAACAACAGGGGAATCATTCTGCCTCTCCCAGAGAACTGGGGGTGCATGATGAGAGCATTGTCTTAAGACTCTGCTGCCTATGGCGCGACCACAAGGCTTTCTGTAGAATGTTGCCTCTGCATCCCCTGTGGGGTGCCAGGGATCTTCTACTCTTTCTTTTTTAAAAAAATCAGTAAGTTCCTCCTGACCTCACATGTGATGGGGCCCTTGAAGGTCAGAGCTGGGGACACCAGTGTAATGCTGTTTTGCATCTGCAGACAACCTGAATTCATGGGTGGGAAGCAGGACATCCAACCCCAATAATGTCATTGCAGTAGCTCTTGAACCTAGTGATGGGACCAAAGCAAATGCTGACTATTTGATTGGTTTAACTGGGGACAATGGGAAAATGCTGGGAATTGGGAATCTACAGGGAGGGACAGGTACATAGCAGGGAGCAGGAGACCCACAAAAATGAGAACGGGGCAGAAAACCAGAGACTGAATATGGGAGGAGGAAGAGAAACAAAGATCAGAGATTGCAGGGGCTCAGCAGGGCCGTTTTCCAATGGAGTGAGGCAGAGTGACAATATGGTGCAGAGCAAGGCTGGGTGCTAATGGACGTGCATTTACTCCATGCAGGGCACAGTTTCTCCTTGGTCTTTGTGCAATCCTACCTGTGTCACCAGTGGGTGCTCTGCTGTTGGTGGGAGGATGGTGTCCTACTCACACCAGAGCAATAAAGACAGAAGGCACCAGCCCTCTCCTTAGCACCCCCTTAGCCTAGGCCAGCAGGTATATGCAGCAATACCTGGAAAAGCAGATGCTTCAGAGTTGCCTGCTACAGAATCCTCCCCATCACTGTCAGTTTTTCCCTTCTGGACTAGACTGCTCTTTTGTCTGCAGCCTGTACAGACATGGTCCTGCCACTTTCAGGGAAGAGGGTGGTGGATTTTGCTCTCTCGGAAATGTTGCACAGCCTTCTTTTACTCATGCACTTCATGGGCTCTAGCACTTTCAGGGTGGCTATAACAATATGGGAGGTGAAGGGAAACTGTGGGCATGTTTCACATGTGTGTGTGGACTGGAGCCCAGTTCTGCAGCTGGCTGGCCTTGGGTGCTGCCTGCCCCTGGAGTGCTTGATTTTGCAACAATACAACACTGTGTGGTGCCTAGCTGTAAAGGTCTACCATTCCACCTCCTCCCACAGCTTTAGCATTCCCCTCTCTTTCCACAGCCTCATTTCATGAGTAAGGAAATCCCTGAGGACTGGGATAAGCAGCCAGTTAAAGTCCTTGTGGGCAAAAACTTTGAGAAGGTGGCTTTTGATGAGACCAAGAACGTATTTGTGAAGTTCTGTGAGTATGGCTCTGTGTGATACGGTGGACTTTCTCCCCCACCTTGAGTGCTGCCCTCTGGCCAAGACCCTGTGAGCACATGGGCAGCACTCATTCCCCAAAGCCAGCAGGAAGAGTTCTTCTTACAAGCTATTTCTTAGGAATGAAGGTGGGGAGCCCAGTAGGCTCCATCCACCCCTGCAAGTTGGAGAATCCTGTTGAGGATGTTTCTAAGCTAGAGCTAAATGTGAAAGGCTCCCACCCCTTTCCTGGTGCATTCTTTCAGCCTGAGCCAACATGAGGAGGTCCTTGCTGATGTCCAGTCCAGACCTTCTCTTTCTGGAGTCATTTGCCCTCCTCTACATGCATATCAGTCCGTCACGTTATGGTGATGGTACTGGCCATAGTGGCAGCTTGTGTGCTGCATTCCCATTGCCAGGTTTCAGTGCTCCCAAGCCCCAGAGGATGCTTTTCTCCATGCCTGGGAATCACTGGTATTTGTGTAGAGGGCAGTCATTGCTGCATGACTGGAACTTTCCCAAGCTCACAGCATTTCAGTCTGAGTGATGGGTGAAGGGTCCCACTTGCCCTCCTCCTCCACATAAGACTTGCTTTCCTGCCTTGTTGGCTTTGTCACCTCATCCTGTCCCTTGGTCTATGCTGGAACTATGTCTCACAACTTCCAGGGCCAGCACCCATCACCCCTGTAGACTCACTCCTGCAGAGGAAATAAATTACTGCTTCCCTGTCACTGCAGATGCTCCTTGGTGTGCACACTGCAAGGCAATGGCATCTGTCTGGGAGGAGCTGGGTGAGAAATATAAGGACCATGAGAACATCATCATTGCCAAGCTGGATGCAACAGCCAATGAGATTGAGAACATCACCATCCATGGCTACCCAACACTGCACTACTTCCCTGCTGGACCAGATAGGAAGGTGTGAGCTGGAATGGGACAGCACCGAGGCTGCCCACATGGGAAGGGAAGGGACTGGTCCACCCAGATGGAACATGAAAAAGCTATCTTTGGATATAGGAAGTGGGTCACCGCTGGGGTTGTGCTGGATGGTGATGATGAATTACACATGAGGCAAGGCCCTCAGCTGGCTGTTGCGTGCAGGGTTGGGCCATGCCATTCCCCACAGGACATTACAGCATGGGGAAAGTGGGGAAGGGTGATGAGAATGAGCAGGAGTTGCATAAACTCTTAGCTGTAGAAAGAGGACTGAGTGAATGTGTGAACACAGAGGAGAGACGTGCAAGGGAGGGGATGTGGTACAATAATGTTTAATTAAGGGATGGGGCAGGAGACCTGGCCTCCCAGTAACCAGGACAAGGGCACATCAGTGGTCTTTGATGAAAGGGAACAAACTCAGCATAGATGAAAGAAAATGTGGAACTCCTGGCCACAAGGGGCCACTAAAGCCAGGCACTCTGTGGCATTCAAGCAAAGACTGGCTGTGCCCCAGGAGGCAAGAACACCTCAGTGATAAGAGTGCAAGCTTAAGCACCCAGAGCTCTGGCAAAGCCATAAGTCCCTCTGCTTCAGGACATGCAGCACCATCAGGTCTGGTCCAAAGAGTCTCTCTCAGGCTTTCCTACTGCAGGGTGTCCTGCCCTGGGGCGCAGCTGGTGCTAGCCATGCTCACTCAGGTGACTGGTCTGATATACTGGGTGTAGGCTGGTCCTGCAGGAGGGAAGCAGAGCAGGAAGCCTGCCTGCTGCACATTTGTGGGTAATCCAATTACTGACATTTCCTGTTTCTTCTCTGTCATGTGCTCTGCCTTCCTGCCTATGCCAGATGATTGAGTACAAGAGTGCCAGAGACCTGGAGACCTTCTCTAAGTTCCTGGAGAATGGGGGCATACTGCCCATGGAGAAGGAGGTGGGTATAGAGTCCCTGTTCTGGAGCCTCATGGCACTGACCCCAGTCCATCAGTTCAACAAAAGGTGTTGGGATTACTCCCAGTGCCACCAATGGGATTTCACACAGGTCCTGCAAGCTTGCTTGGCCTGTGTGGCCCCTTCAGTCCCCTCTTTCATGAGTGAGTGAGCAAGGTCAGCCTTGCATTCACCCTTCCCTCACCAGAGAGAGCAAGGTATACCCCACATATCCCTTCCTGTACTGAAGACACACACACACACACACACACACACACATGCCCTGCCCTGCCCTGCCCTGCCCTGCCCTACACGC